ATTACCGACAGATTTTTTAAAATGAAATAGTAGCTTTTGAAGATTTCAATACTCGGTTATGTCCTTAAGTGATCTAAGTGTATGTGCCTAAAAAAATACGAGACAGAAAACAATGTAATACTCGCCCTTTTCCTTTAAAGTCTTTCAAACCCCAAGGCAAGAGGAATGAAATAGTAAAAAAAACTCCTTCCGGTCCTCGTTTATGCGTCTATATAAAAGAATAGAGCATAAAAAGATGGTGCGTATTTTTTTGTATGAAATATAGAAAAAGCTCTTTTAAAAAAGCTTGAAGTACGACACATTTTCTCACGTTGAACTGATTCGGTATATTGTTACTCATTAGCTCTTTGTGTCACACAGTAATGATTTATAATGAAAATTTACTGTCTATATAAACATTCCATTGAGTTTTGTAGCCACCTCTTCAGGTTGAAAATTTAAATACCTCAGTATTTGTATTTTTATTTGCTAGATGTACTTGCATATTTTTCGAATGCTTTGAAGAAAACTCTTATTATGGGAAAACATTGTATCTTCTCACTACCATCTGAGAATAATAATAAAAATAATTCAAAAAAAGTGAACTTTTACTTTAAGAAAGAGCTAGAACACAAACTAAAAGTATATCTCATACAAAACTAAAATTATGCATATAAATTGCACCCTCCTTTGCTATCTCATATAAAATGGAAACTGAAACTAAACAAACGATAACACGTTATAAGGATAGTAAATAAGCCAATCAGTGGATATTCTGGATAAAAAGAAATGACAAAAAAATTAGATTATCTACCTCAAAACAAATAATTCGCTATTCAATTATCCATGTTTTAAGTCCAAAAAAGTTGACAGTTTCCCTCCCAAAACGATAACATGAAAAACGTTAAAAAATCGAAATGGTTTGTGAGCTGGATTAAGCATTTCTACATCAAAGAGAAAAAAATGGTAAAAGTTGATCTCCCTTTAAAAATCCATCCCTAGATATATAAAGGGGAACTTTTGAAACCCTTTTTCGTAAAATTTCTCTTTTAATCTCTCATAAACATTTTAACGAGGCTACTTCTCAAAATCAGTGGAAAGGTCGCTTACCATGACCTCCCAAAATTGTTAATGCTTATTTTGCTAATCCTTCCTGCTGAGGTACTTGTTTCACTCCCCTGAATATTTGGAATGATTAGTCATGCCTAATGCTGGATTCATACCTATAAACATTTACATGGTTAAATGATGTAATAAACTAACACAAAATGAATCCAGTTTTACATTTGAGCAAGCTATTCTTATTAGGTAAGAATTTGGATAAAACGCACCCACGTGTTCTATTTCACCACTAAACAATGACAATGGAATCAGCAATATTCAATAGAAAACGTACCACTGTTTGTTTTCAACTGATATTCAAATAGGGTGGTTTTGAAAAGCGTTGGAAAAAACTGTAACACTGATTATCTCCTCAACAATGTGAAAGGACAGTATTTCATAAATAAACAACTCTTAAACAAAATGTCATTCAAAATTCGACTAACTTTGATGTCTTTATGATACTGAAACCAATTTTTATTTTGTTCCACATGAAAATTGTGATTTACCTTTCAAAATACTTTTATTCCAACCTCTCCCGAAAAAAAAAATCGAACAAACCTATTCTTCAGATATCCATAAAAATATAGATATGTGCGTGTGTACATGAGCATGTGTGTGTGTTGAGAAATCTCATTTGAATACCCTGCGTTATTTTTGGTAATAGATGCTAAACAAAATGTACTCTTAGAAATATAGGAAAGAGTACACTCAGCAAAATCGTGGCGACACGCATAGCACATGCGAGAAAATGCTCAGATCATGTGTGATATTTTCAAAACCTCACACTCGCTGGTGGTTCATGCGAGAAATATTAATAAAAAGGGTCAAGACGTTATCAGCTCCCCGGTTTAAGGAGATAAAAACTGTTTCCCTTCTCGATATTGACCCCTTTAGACACTATTTGTATTTATTCCGTCTCCATGTTATCCACAACATCCTCAGCGCATAGCTGAGTTTCAAATATTTGGGAACAACAAACATTCTAGAAGAGTAAAATCGAGTCACGCGTCGTCTAACCATTCCAAGTAACAAATTGACTTCCTGTAAGGAGAAAATCAAGTAGAGCAGAAAATTAAAAAAGACATGATGACGCCGACCAAAAATTGCTCAGAACCTGTAAAGCGTCAAACGTGCCTTTAATGATAACACGTAACAAGGTCCATAGAAGTGGATAGAATGAAGAAAGGGTTCTCACCGTTTCTCTCCTTGTTATCCCCTCTCTTTACTAACCTAAGATCCTGCCCAAGACCATCAAGGTAGGGCATAACGAAGCGCTGTAAGACTCTTCTTCCTACTGTGAATAGTGATGTGAATTATTAGGACTCCGGGACGTTTCTGTTTGGTAATTGTTGTGTGTACTGCCACCGCTGATTTTGCTTAATCGGCGATCGCGACTAGCATTGCGCGAGATATTAGATGACGTCAGCGACCTCCGACAGCATGGAAAACGGCGATTCCCATGCAGGCTTAGCCGCCTCGCATCGGGGGGAACGGGCACGAGTTTGCTTTGAACGTCCTTAGATGTGTAGATATCCACATTCACGGTACATGGTCCTTCCGTTGTAGAGCCACTGCAGTACATGACGAGCGAGTAGCGACCCCCTTGTGGTGCCTTAAACACTATTAACTGCTCGCGAGCGTTTGACGGCCCTCTCGTGGTACCAACCTTAATCCCGTACTCGTTGAACACAATCATCATTAACTCACTTTCGCCGATGGTATCGCCGCGTTGGATACTTTTCGGATCCGTCACCTTGGTTTGGTGCATTAAAATATGCACATCACAAGCGCTACTCAATAGAAAATCAACCCGCGTTCCCTCCTCGTCCTCCGGCACCGTAAGCTGACAATGCAGCGGGCTGAAGGTGAGCCCAGCATGGCGTAGCGGAGTCAACGTCACGTTGGAGAACCCCGGATAGATAGATAACTTAAACCGCCCCGTGGTGCCGCGGTCTTTGGTGAAGGGGATTAAATACCCTACCGAACTCGCCGGCAGCTCCATCTCCACGCAAACCTCCCTCGAATTGAGCATCACGCCCTTTTGAAGCATCCGATGCGTACCGTCCGTGATGAACGGCGTCGGTGGCAGCTTCGCATCTATCGGCTGCATCAGCGAGACTCCTGAGAAGGGGTATCGAGGGCTGTCCGCCCCGCTCCCCTCGAGCGGCTCCACGTGCCGCACCTCGACGATTATCTTAGAAGGCTTCAAGGATTTGTTCTCAACGAGATAAATCGGATTACGATGGAAAGTCGTGTAGCGAGGAGCCCCACCGGACGTCTCTGCGGTCCACTCCCCCGGCGCGCTCAGGCGATTCCCGCAGTTGATGCGGCAGCGCTGGAGGCAGGTGAAATTCGCGAGGAAGACGGGCACCGGTACGAGCATCACGTTTGCCTCCCCAGACGCGCCGTCGTTCGCGTCCGAGGGCGTCAGCTTGTCGAAGTAACAGCTGTACAACTTCACCACCACATCGCTGAGCTCCAGCGCGCCGTCGTCGTTGCCTCCTTTCAGAATCACATCCAGAAGGGGGTAGCTGCAGAGCGCACGGAAGCCGTTGGGAACGGCGTGATTCGCCATCGCGACGAAGACGTCGCCGTCGACGAGATCCTTCGCGACGCGCAGCCAAAACGAAAGGGTGGCGTAGCTCCCCGCGTAGGTCTCCGCCGTCAGTTTGGGATCCTCGAGTGAAATGTTCATGACGGGCCGGCCGACTAAATCCCGCAGCGTATCGTGGACGTTGCAGGTGCTGAATTTGGGGTAGCCCCCGAGGAACTTCGCGTAGGCCTTCTCCAGCAGCAGCGGGTAACATATACGAGGGGGGGTCTGAAGGAACTTCGGCTCCCCTTTCCGGTTGCACGCCACACGACCGTCAATCTCCACCACCGTAAGGGATCCATCCGGGTTAAAAAGGGTAATTCGGTAGGGCTGATTTTTCGGGTGGTACTTATCAAGAAACAGGCGTGATATGAGAACAGTATGGCGTGCTAACGCCGCGATGAGAGGGGCAAGGAAGCTCGCATCGCCTGGTGCGGAGCACACATCCGACGGGAGCGTTTTCTCGGGAACAATTGCCTCACGTGCCCCATCAGGGTAGAGGTCGCAAATGTGAGTCCACTTCTCGGCAACAGAATTGTTTGAAGCGTGAAACTCGGGGTCTTGGTAACCCTTTTTGATCTTCGCGAGCTCCACGATGCGCTTATTCATGCGTTCCTCAAGCTTTCGAATCGCATTGGCGTTTTTGCTCGGGTCTTTCTTCAGCCTACGGCGGTCAACCTCCATCGCACGAAACTCCACATCGTCGTTCAGCGGTAGGGTCTCCAACGGGATTCCTTCCGGCTTTTGATACAAATAGGAACGCTCCTGTTTGAGGAAGTTAGCAGCGACGCGTTTAGCGACTTCATTAAGTTCATGCACCAGCTTATCAGCGAGACCTTTTTCCTTGGGGTCCCTCTTAACCTTGACGTAGGCCTGCTCTAACCTGCAGAACTCCGGATCGTTTGATAAATTCAAGTCTGCCAATGGTACCCCCAGCGGCTCTGGATTCAAATAAACGAGTCCATCCATTATATAGCGTTTAGCTAGCATCTCTACCCGCTTTATCATATCCCGCTTCAGCTCGTCGATTACAGAGATCTTCTTACCAGGGTCTTTCTTGACTTTTCGCAGCTTTTGTTCCATTTCACGAAACGCCTTGTCGTTGTCCAACGGGAGTTCCCGAAGCGGCACACCCTGTGGGTCCTGCGGCAAGAAGGCCCGCTCCTCGTCCAGTAAAACTCGCGCCAGCTCATGGGCGCGATCATTTAGCTGCTTTTCTAAGTTGGAAATCGTCTTCGCATCGACGTAAGCATCCTTCACAAGGACGCGGCGTTGACTTTCCAATGATTTGAAGATGGAATCGCGATTAAGTGGTAAGTTCGACAAAGGAACGCCAAGCGGCTCGGGATCGAGGAACTTCCGGTCTCGGTCAAGCTGCTCCTGCGCAAGCAAATTGACGCGATCGTGCATGCGCTCCATAAGATCCTCTATAGCGACTTTGTTCTTCACTGGCTGCTTCTTCAACCCCCGTAGCTCCTTCCCCATTTCCTGGAAATCGCGGTCGGTGTTTAGTGGCAAGCAGGAGAGTGGGATGCCGCTTGGATTCTGATCCAAGAAAGTCCGCTCCTTGCTCAGAAATTCTTTAGCTATCTCAAGAACGCGTCGTTCAATCTCGTCCCTAAGTCTGGAAAGGACCTCAGTGTTGGGCCTTGGATCCCTATTCAAATCGCGCCGCTTCCGCTCTAACGCGTTCAAGATGGGATCATAATTCAAGGGCAGTTCCTCAAGCGGCACGCCGAGTGGCGCCTGATCCTGCATAGCTCTCTCCTTGCGCAGTAACTCCCTGGCAAGTTCGTCAGTGCGTCGACGGAGGTCATCCTGTTGTTGAAAAATAGCATCTGGATTCGTCACGGCGTCTTTCTTCATCCGAAGCAGCTCATTCTCCATCTCACGGAAGATAGGATCCCGGTTGAGTGGGAGATCGGCAAGGGGTACGTTCTGTGGATTCGGGTCGAGGTACTCACGGTTGCAGTTAAGGTATTCCTGCGCCAGCTCATGCGCTCGGTCGTTCATTTGATCCTCTAGTTTGCGCAAAGCCTCAGGATTACGTTGATCGGTGTTCTTGAGAGCCTGACGCTGTTTGGCCAACTCGTTGAAACGAAAATCGCTTCGAAGAGGAAGACATAACAGGGATACTCCCAGCGGCGCAGGGTTCAGAAAACTCTGATCCTTCGCCAACTCCTTTCTTGCCAACTCATGTGCGCGATCGTTCATGCGTTTTTCAAGCTTAGCAAGCTTCTTCAAGTCTGGATTCGGCTGCTTCTTTAGATTAAAACGCGCAATCTCCGCTTCTTTGAACTCAGGGTCGAAGTCAAGCGGGATCCGACTGAGAGGCAAGCCCTCGGGCTCCTGTTCCATAGTCTCACGCATCTTGGCAAATTCCTCCTTTACCAAATAGTTCGCGCGATCAATCATCCTTTCTTCCAAATCCTGAATGATATTCTCCTTATGCTTGGCAAACTGCTGATTGGTCGCGTAGCGGCGCCGCTCTGTCTCAAGAGAAACGAATTCCTTGTCTTCGTCCAACGGCAAATCATTTACAGACATACCCTCTAGGAACTTGTCCAGGAAGGCTCGCTCAGCGCTAATCTGATCATTAGCAACCTCTAAGGCGATTGCATGCATTTCTTTTTCAACCGACTGGACCTTATCCAACTCTTTTCCCTCCCTCAACGCAGCACGGCGCTCATTAGCCAAGCTGCTGAATTTCGCATTTGCATGCAAGTTCAGCAGTTCCCTTGGTATGCCACGGTACTTCGTCTCCGGCAGGCAAGCAAGGTCATTTAAGATGATCCCCTTGGCCAGTTCGTGCAGCCAATGTTGCATCTTTTCCTGGGTTTCTTTAATTGCCGCTCCGTTATGGCGAGGATCTTTCTTGAGGATCCGGAGGTAGTCCTCCATACGCAGGAAATTGAGGTCCGAGTCAAGCGGTATATCCTCGATCGAAACGCATTCCGGAGCCCGGTCCAGGAAGGCTCGATCTCTCGTGATCTGCTCCCTTGCGAGCTCGTGGGCGCGCTTGTTAAGGGCCATTTCCAAGGCAGAAATTTCGTCTGCATCGTCTAACACACCATCCGCTCTGCGTAGGGCTAACTTCACTTCCATTTTGTGGTAGGCCGGGTCACTATCCAGGGGTAGCTCGCTAATAGGAAGGCCTTCCGGCGTAGGATCCAAATACTGGTCTCGTTTCCCCTTGAGCTTCATTTCACCTAACTCATCCGCGCGATCTTGCATTAGACACTGAAGCTTCTCAATGGCCGCTGCATTTCGACGAGGGTTTTGTTTGAGCCGACGGAGTTGATGTTCCATTTTCTTGAACGCAATATCGATTTCAAAGGGTAGGTATTTCTTGGGAATACCGTGCGAGGTTTCATTTAGGAAAGCACGATCGGCATTTTTACCCTCGATAACTAGCTCGCGCACGCGTTTCCTCAGTTGGTCTTCGACATTGGAAATAGCATCGGCGTTTTCCACCGGGTTCTCCCTCAACTTCGCGCATGTCGCCTCCAGCTTTCGGAAGCGCTCGTCCGTATCAATAGGAACGAATATAATGGGTACCCCGTCCACCTCTGGGTCTAAGTAACCGCGATCACCCTGAATCTTTTCTCGGGCCAACTCACGGACGCGGTTGAGCATCTGATCTTTCAAATGGGCTATCTTTTCGTCATCCTGAGGAGGGGGGCTATAGAGAAGGAGAAGTAGCTTTTGCTCGAGATTGGTGAATACCGTGTCGCTGTCCAAAGGGAGTTGGGTAAGCGCCACCCCCTCCTGATGCGTTCCTAGGAACTGACGCACCTCATCAATCTTCTGTCGTGTTAAGCCGTCGACGCAGGCGTTCATCTTGGCGTGAAGGTCCTTGATTTTGGGCGCGTTCAATGACGGATTCAGCTTGAGTCTACGCAGCTCCGATACATAGGTGCTGAACTCAGGGTTGCTGTGCAAGTCGAGCGATTCTATCGGGATACCATGTGAGATCGGATCCAACCCCTCCAAGTCCTCATGCAGCTGTTTCAGGGCCAATTCATGCACACGGTCGTTGAGGCGATTCTCAAGACTGGCGATTTGTTCGGCGTTCTTCTCCGGATCCTGCGCCTTCAGCTTCGCACGCTCCACTTCCATCTTGTGAAACTGTACATCCGCGTCCAAGGGAAGCTCACTAATCTCAACATTGCACTGAAAAGGAACCAGATAGTCGCGGTGACTTAACAGTGACTCCTTCGCGAGCTCACACGCGCGTTTTCTCAAGGAGTGCTCAAGATTCGAAAGTTGAACACTATGCAGCTTGGGACCCTCCGCTTTGAGCTTTGCACGCTCCACCTCCAAACTGTGAAACTCGGGATCGGTGTCTAAGGGAAGAAGGAACAGCGGTGTTCCACACGGATTGCTCTCCAAAAAGGACGCCCGGTCTCCAACGAGTAACTCCTTTGCCAACTCCACCAGGCGTTCATTCAGAAGATTTACGATGTGGGAATTATCCGAAGAACTGGCATCTTTAGGAAGACTGCGGCGCTGGAGCGCCAATGTGTTAAAGAAGTCATCATTATGCGGGTTCAAAATCTTTACAGGCACACCAAATGGCATGTCTTGAAGCCCCACTAAGTCATTCTCCAGAATCTTGTTGGCTAATTCGTGTGCCCGCTCATTAAGACGTCCTTGAAGGTCAGCAATTTTCGCTTGATCTTGATGCGATCCCTTTAACTTCAGCATCGCACGCTCCACCTCCATCTGATGATAAGACTTGTCGCTGTCAAGAGGGATTGCGTTGAGGTCCACGCCCTTGGGACTTGAGTCTAAATAGATTCGTCGATCCCCACGAAGTGCAACATCAGCAAGTTCATGAATGCGATTCTTTAAGGCGTCCTCTAGGGTTTTGATTCGCTGGGGATATGCTTCCGGATCACCCTGTTTCAGCTCACGGAGGGTATTCATTATACGCACAAAGTCTGAGTCATTATAGGGCTTAAGAATCGCAACCGGGAGGTCCTCCACATTATCTTCCATGAAGCGAAGTTCGTCCTCCATCTGACTCAGTGCACGTTGCACAGCACGATCGTTCAGCTGGAGTTCCAATTCATAGATCTCCGCAGAGTTTTTGATCGGGTTTTTCAGTTTAAGAGTTAGTCGTTGGCTCTCGAGATCGGCAAACACACGGTCTGTATCAAGAGGCAAAGCAGAAAGCGGTACCCCCATCGGATTCTGAACCAAATGGACGCGCTCGCTTCTTAGAAGTTCCTTCACGAATTCGTTAATACGCGCATTCAGAGACTTTTCCAACTCCAGGATAGCGTCCTTGTTGCCGATCGGGTCGTTATTGATGAGATTCAGTCGCTCGTTCTCAAGGGATTTAAATTTAGCGTCTCGATCAAGTGAGAGAAGGTTTAGCGGGATGCCCTGTGGGTCGGGGCTCAGGTAACGCGCACGATCCTCGGCAAGGTAGTCCGTAGCAAGATTATTAAGCAAGGAATTGAGCGTAGTCTGCACATTCTCTAGACGAAGGCTGCTGCGATGCGAATAGTTCTTTTTCAGACGTCGCAATTCGATTAACAATGAGGCGAATTCCTCATTGTCATGAGGATGCAGTAGCTCCGCGGGTACACCATTGGGGCATTTGTTAATCATACACAAATCTTTCCGTTTTTGTTCTTCGATAAGCTCATGAAGACGCTCATTGAGCTTCTCCTCTAGCTTACCGATTTTCCCTGCATTCTCCGCGGCATTCTCTGTTTTAAGCACTGCTCTCTGAACCTCGAGGTTGTGAAACACGGGATCTTCCGAGAGAGGAAGTATGTCAATCGACACCACGGCAGGAGTGGGATCCAGAAAGCTACGGCTGTTTTTCATGGCTTGGTCCGCCATTTCAATGATCAAGTCGTTCATCTTTTCCTCAACTTCCTTCAGCTTTGACTTGCTGTAGTGTGGATCTCGGCGGAGCTCACGAGCCCAAAGCGCAAGTTGGATAAACTCGACGTTGTCGTGTGGTTTAATATACTCAATCGGAATGCCTCGTGGGGTCTGATCGAGATTCTTAAGATCCTCCGCGATGACCTCCTTGGCGAGTTCCTGCGCCCGCTGCTTAAGACGCTCCTCCAGATCCTCGATCTGAGCCACATTCCCACCGGGATGGCTGAGCTTCAGTCGTGCTCGTTCCACCTCCAAACCGTGATAGATGGGGTCCGTATCCAGTGGGAGGTATTCCGGCATGACGCCGCCAGAATGGGAGTCGAGGTAGATCAGACGATCCCCCTGCAGGGCGATCCGCGCGAGCTCGTCAACCCGATCGACCAGCTTTTTCTGCAGCTCCGCCGCTGCCTTTGAGCTCCAAGCGCTTCGTTTAGCACGGCGAAGTTCGGGAAGAATTCGGGCAATCTTCGGATCCTCACGCGGATTCAGCATTTCGAGAGGCACATCGTACGGGTTGCTATTAACGCCGTCAAAGTCGTGGTCTAGAATACCCCGAGCTAACTCGCATACACGGCTGTTCATTTGATCCTCAAGATCACGAATTTGTTGCACGCTATGACGGGGATCGCTGGTTTTGAGCTCGGCACGTTTTTTCCGCAACTTGATAAATTCAACATCCGAATCAAAGGGCACGTCTTCGATGCTGAGGCCTTCCACCTCTTTTTTGAGAAACCACAGGTCACCCTCCTTCTGCTCCCTGGTAAGTTCCACCAGGCGAGCATCCAGATCCGGCAGGAGCTTCTTGGCCTCGTTTGATTTGCCCTCACTTTCCAACACACGCATTTGGTTGATTAGTTGAGAGAAGATGGGGTCCTGGTGCGGGCGCAGCGAGGCGGTGTCAATACCGTCGTATTGGGGTTCAAACAAGGCGAGTTCCGCCTTTATCTTCCGATCCGCGAGCTGTCGAACACGCTCGTTCAAGGCGACCTCAAGCTCCTGGATGTATCGCGCATTTCGTATCGGGTCCTTCGCCTTGAGCTTCGCCCGCTCGACCTCCTTTGTTGAGAAGTCAATGTCCTCGGTGAGGGGAAGATAACCCAGCGGCACACCTGCCGGCTCCGGATCGAGGTAATCCCGGTCGCCATCAAGAAGTTGATCGGCTAGCTGGTACGCCCGGTTGTTCATGAGATCCTCGAGCTCGCGGATGCTGCTCGCATTCGTCTCGGGGTCCCGCTTTAACTCCCGTAAGTATGGAATCATCGCGGCGATTTCAGGGTCGCTTGCGGGTCTGAGCAGCTCAAGCGGGATGCCCTCGGGGGCCTGGTCGATACCGGACAGATCCTCCGCCAGCTGCAGCGCGGCGAGCTCATGGGCACGGTCGTTGAGCTGATCCTCCAGATCTTTGAGCTTCTGATCGTTGCGTTGCAGTTTCTTGAGCTTCAGTTTGGCGTGCTCGAGTTCAATATCATGAAACAGCGGATCCGTATCGAGGGGCAAGATCTCCAGCGGAACCCCTTCCGGGTTCTGGTCGAGGTAGTCGCGACCCATCGCGGCATCCGCCAGCTCGCGCGCCCGACAGTTCATCTTCGATACCACCTCCGTCATGAGGGCGGAGTCCTGCGGGCTGGGGCCCTCCCGCACCGCCCGCAGCTCATCCGCGAGCCCTTTAAACACCGGATCCTCATGCAACCGAAGCACCTCCGGCGGGAGGTCGTGCAGGTCCGCGGTGAGATGCCGCAGATCCTCGGCGTGCTGCGCGAGCGCGAGCTCGTGGGCGCGATTGTTGAGCTGCGCCTCGAGCTCCTTCACGGCGCGAGCCTCGGGGTGAACCCCCGTCGCCCGCAGCTTCAGTCGTTCGCATTCGAGCTCGTGAAAGACGGGGTCGGTGTCGAGCGGGAGGAAACGCAAGGGAACGCCCTGGGGCTCGGGGTCGAGGTACCCTCGACTCCCCTGCACCGCCGCCCGCGCGAGCTCCCGCAGCCGCCCCGCCATTTCCCGTCGGAGGGCAACAAGCTCTTCCGAAGGGGCGCGTGGTGTGAGCTCCCGTAGCCGCCGCACCAACGCGGAAAAAGCGGGATCGTCGTGAGGCTTGAGGGCCGCCGGAGGGATCCCTTCCGTGGCCTCCTCCAGCCCTTCCAATTCCTTCCGACGAAGCTGCTCGGCGAGCTCCTCGGCGCGGCGGTTGAGGCGGTGCTCGAGCTCGCGGAGGCGGTCGGCGTTGCGGCGGGGGTTCTGCGCCTTCAAGACGTACCGCTGCGCCTCGAGGCCGTGGAAAGGAGCGTCGTGGGTGAGACTGAGGAGCTTCAACGGGACCCCTTTCGGGGAAGGTAACAGGTAGGTCAGACGCTCACTGGTCAGCCGGTCGTTGGCTAGCTCCTGGCAACGTTTGTACATCTTCGCCTGAAGCTCACCGATGGGGGCCTTGTTGGCGAGAGGTTTGGACTTTAACGTACGCAAAGTCGGGAGGTAGGAACAAAACGTGGGGTCGGAGTAGGGGTCTAGGATCGTGAGGGGGATGCCCTCGGGGTTGGGGTCTACCCCAGATAAGTCTTCCCGCTTCTGATCCTCGGCCAGCTCGTGAACACGCTCAACCAGCTGGGCCTCTAGCTCCTCAATCCGTTTCGCGTTTCGAACCGGGTCCAATGATTTGAGTTTGATACGCTCCAGCTCCAGTTTATGGAACTTGAGATCCTGGGTAAGAGGCAGTATCTCGAGTGGCACCCCCTCAGGGTTGAGTTTCAGGCGTGCGCGCTCGTCCTGAAGCATATTCATCGCTAACAGCGTCACACGTGCGTTCATGCACTCTTTTAACTCCTTTATGGCGGTAGCATTGGTTTGTGGCTGGAGCTTCAACACACGCAACTGCTCAACCATGGCAGCAAACTCTGGATCATCGTGAGGCTTAATAATATTGTGGGGAATACCCATAGGATCTTTCGCTAGAGTGGATATTTCGCTCTCCTTCATCTCCTTCGCCAGCTCGTGGATGCGTTCGTTGAGCTTGATTTCCAGGTCAACAATCGCCTTGACGTTACAAAACTCACCCTCAGACTTGAGCTGCATCCGCTCAACTTCCATCTGATGAAACTTCTCATCCTTGTCGATAGGAATATTCTCCAGAGGGATCCCCTCAGGCTTGTCGTTGAGATAGCCCCGGTCTCCTTCCAGCATCCCCTTGGCCTTCGCGCAGGCTTTTCCATTCAGCTCCTCCACCAGCTCGGTGATTTTTTGACGATTCGCTACGGGATTCTGCTTCAGACGCCGCAGTTGCGCCTCAAGCGCGAGAAAGTCCCTATCCTCGCCAAGCTTCAAAAGCTCCAGCGGAAGGCCTCCCGGAGAAGGATTGCAGTACTGCTTACGAGACTCAATGGCCAGTTTCTTGGCATGGTCGTCAAGCTGCATTCGCAGTTCCTCAAGACGCGGATCCCTCGGCCTCTCTTTAGCAATTTCTCGAATCGTGTTTTCGAGCTTGAGAAAGGTGATGTCCTCATTGAGCGGAAGCGCAGAGAGAGGTATGCCATCTGAGTCCTGGATCAAAAGAGCTCGCTCGGTTTCATGCACGTTTTGTGAAATCTCGCGAATACGATCGTTTATTTGATCAAGGAGTTGAGCAGCGACCTTTTCCTTTGTCGAATCCTGCATTGCGTCACGATACTTCTCCTCCAGATCGTTTAGTTGTTCATCCTCATCAATACGGGATATAAGATGATCAATGGGAATACCTAGAGCATTTTGGTTGAAATATTTGCGGTACTTCTGCTTCACCTCACGTGCCAGAACACAAACCCGCTCGTTGAGCTGATCCTCTAGGCCTCGGATTGTCGCGCGGTTAGCTTTGGGGTCGTTCTTCAGAGCCATACGTTTCTCTTCTAGCTCTAAAAATTCCTTATCTTGTTCAAAGGGTATCTGACGTAGTGGTACACCCTCAGACTCATCTTTGAGGAAAATGCGATCGTTTTTGATGGCCTCCTCAGCTAGTTTAATAGCCCGCTCATTAAGAGTTTCCTCAATTATTTTAATCGCCGGTACGTTCCAGTTCGGCTCACGGCACAGCTTCGCGCGCTGTCCCTCGAGTTTGATGAAGATTTCATCCGTATCGAGTGGCAGCTCCATTAGAGGAATATTACGCGGCCTCGGGTTCAGGTAGGTCGTGCGCTCGGCGGCGTTCTTCTGATGTGCTAATTCACAAACCCGTACGTGCATGGCCTGCTCCAGGGAGGATAGTTGTTCCTGGTCGCAGTACGGATTCCTCTTCGCGCGGTGGTATTGCTCCTCTAGCTTGCAGAAGGCCGGATCCTCGTCTATCTTGAGTTCCTCCAAAGCACGGCCCTCGGGCTCAGGATCGAGAAACTGACGCTCCGCCGCAGCCTGTTTTTTGGCCAATTCAAGAATCAACGCTTTAAGCTTATTCGTCTTGGCGGTGATTTTTTGTGGATCCGAGTCGGGATTGGCACGCAGTGTGCACAGCTCCGCCTCAATGGCAAGGTACTCCTCGCATTCATCTAGTGGCAATTCGCTCGATGAAAACCCGAATGGTATGTCAAGCTGTGCACGTTCGTCCTCACGGACCATGAAGGCCACATCCACGGCACGTTTAGCCATGGCGTCCGCCAAATCATTCTCTCGCTCGGGGTTTTCTCCCTCGCCTCGGGCTCGAATGAAAGCGGCCTCAAGGTCACTGTACGGTGTGTCATCATCCAGTGTGAGAACATCTCGGCTAATACCTCCTGGAAACTCTGGGAGAATATCCTCTCGAATCTTTTTCTTCAAGGCTTTGGCTATCTCATGCGCGCAAAGGTTCATTTCATCTTCTATCTGATGGATCAATTGATTGTTCGCTGGCTTACCTTGGGTTTTGAGAGCCATGCGCTCTTCCTCCAACTTACAGAACCTCGCGTCTTCGTGAAGGGGTACGTACTTGATAGGAATACCCTCCGGCTCTGTATCCAAAAACCCGCGATCCGCCTCAATCTGCTCCTGAGCCACTTCCTCGGCACGCAAGTTTAGTGCGAGCTCAATGTCCTCAATGGCTTTCTTATTTTTAGCTGTAAACCGACACAAGCGAGTGCGCTGCTCCTCCAGCTGTCTAAACTCCTCATCATCATCGAGATGCAGACTCTCGTACGCGATACCCCTTGGTGCTGGATGTAGGTAGTTTCCCCGTTCCGCTGCATTTATCATCTTGGCGAGCTCATGGGCGCGTTCGTTCATTAGTTCCTCTAAATCAGCCAACTTCTGGCACTCCATTCTGGGGAGTTTTTTTAAATTCCTGTATTCGTTCTCCAGATCCCGAAATACAGTGTCCGTATTAAGAGGCAGCTCTTTCAGAAGACGGCCCCTTGGATCCGGATCAAGAAACATGCGGTGCTTTTCCAGCTCCTCAGCCGCGATCTGCTTCACCATCGAAGCTAGCTCATCCATCAAAACATTGATCTCCGCAGCATTATCCATTGGATTGCGACGGAGTACACGCAGTTTTGCCTCCTTCGTCAGAAACGGCTGAAACGCGTCGAGTGCCAACTCCTTCAGCGGCAAGCCCAACGGACATGAATCCAGAAAGGCACGATCCTCCTCCTTCTTCTTCTTGGCCAACTCAAGGGCGTGCTCATTCAAGGCTTCCTCAAGCTCCCGAATCTCCTCTGCGTCTGGATGCGACGACTCTTTCAGGAGTAAGCGGTGTACCTCCATATCACAGAACTCCTGGTCCGCATCCAAAGGAAGGTCTTCATATGGGATACCATTGGGCTTCGGCTCCAAAAATTTGGCCCGCTCCTTTTCCTTCAGGTGCTGTGCGAGTTGATGCAGGCGAAGATTGAGCTCCTCCTCAATTCTTGCGATAGCCTTGGCATTCCGTCGTCCTCCTTTCTTCAACCGAGCACGCTGCACCTCTAGGAAGGAAAAGTATTCATCAGTTTCGAATGGCAGAAGGTTAAGCGGTAATCCCTGTGGCTCCGGGTCTAAAAAGGAGCGGTCAGCGGCGAGCTTCCGCTTGGCGAGCTCCATGGCGCGTTCATTGAGCTTCTTCTCCGTTCCACTAATGGCTCGGGCATTTTGCTCTGGGTCTCGTTTTTGAACCTGACGCTTTATTTCGAGCGAGATGAAGTCTGGATCTTCGTCCAGTGGAAGATCCTCCAACGGGATATTTTTGAAGGCTGCCTGAAGGTAGAGTGGTCGTTCATTAACGTTCATCTGATGCGCTATGGCATGCACAAAGTTGTTCATCTGATCCTCCATCTCCTGTATCTCTGTTGGGTTGCCTTTATTGTAGCGGAGTTGTCGGCATAAGACGTCCAAACGCATGAATTGCAGATTCTCGCTCAATTGGAGGCTGCTCAAGAGACGTCCCTCCGGCTCATGGTCGAGGAATTGACGATCCTGAGCGGCTTTTGTGGCCGCGATAGAGTCCACAAGCTCCTTCATGGTGCGCTGAAGTTCATGAATACCGTTGGCATTTTGCTTTATATCACGTCTCAGAACACGTAGTCGGCCTTCGAGAGTGGTATAATCCTCCCTGGAATCCAGCTCCAGCGCCTCGAGAGGGAATCCATAGGGCGCGGGATCCAAGCATGTCCGCAACTCCGTTTTTAAGGATAGAGCCAACTCGTTAGCCCGTCTGCTAAGTTCCTTTTCCAGTGCTTTTATCTCGTTCTGATGCTTGATGGGATCCTCCATGCACAGAGAAAGCCGCATCAGTTCATTTGAATGAAACTCTTGGTCGGTATCAAGCGGTAAATCAGCCAGCGGTATCCCTAGCGGCTTTTGATTGAGAAATCGCATACGCTCGTTTTCTTTTGTCATACTCGCGATTTCATTGACACGGTTGCTGATTGTAACCTTTAATTTCGCAATCATATTCATATTTCGTTTGAACCTTGTGTCAAGGGATCGCAACTGATTCTCCAACTCACAAAGCTTCGCGTCCTCATTGAGGGGAAGAAAATGCAGAGGAATCGAACACGGCATCGGATCCAGATAGTATCGCTCCTGGTGGTGCAGCTCGAAGGCAATCTGTCGAGCGCGTGTGTGCATGCTCTCCTCGAGTTCGACAATTTCGAGATCATTGAGCCCGAAGTCCCGCATTAAATCTGCACGTTTTTGTGCCATCTCAGAAAATTCGGGATCATAGATAAGTCGGAGGAAATCTGTGGGGATGCCTTCGTACTCGGGACGGAGAAAGCTAAGATCCAACCCTACTGTGCGTTCAGAGATAGTGTTAGCCAAATTGCGCAACTCTTCCTCGATCTTGTGCAACTTGTTTGAGTTTCTTGGATCCTTAGTGAGCAAGTAGCGCGTAGTTTCTAATTTCATGTATTCTGGGTTGCTGTCCAAATATGGATTTAACTTTTCCAGATTGCAATTGAGCAAGTACTTCGCACGCTGCCTTCCAATATTCTCCCTAGCTAGCTCATGGACACGTTCGTTTAGATGATTCTCCATCTCAATAATCGCATCTGGGTCACTATCCATTGAGTTGCACATCTGCTGAAGCATCTCCAACCCTTCCTGAAAGATCGGGTCGCGATCCAATGGAAAATCGGTGAGCGGCACACCCATCGGTTGCTGATCAAGAAACGAGAGTTCAATCTCACTTAGCTCGTTAGCATCATCCGGCGGATCCGTTATGCGAACGTGTGCTTCCTCCAGTGCAACAATCTCTAATTTACATGAAACCGTGCTTTTGGCACCAGGACAAGTAATGAGCAGTGCATATCGGCCAGGAAAATCCAAGTGATGCACTAGGGCATTTTCACGGTAATTCATGGCCGTTAATGCGCCGCACAATCGCTTGTCATCTTCGTCGTACAAATAAAGCGCAACGAAATCTTTAGCAATTACATCACCACCCACATCCATTTTGAAGGCTCGCTCCTGTTTGAGGAGAATGTGAACGTCTGTGGGGACATCTACCTTGAAATCTACGCGTTCTTTCCCTGTACAGAGATCGATGTGGGAGATCGCGGGTAGATGGCGTGCCACTTTGACATTAACGCGCTCAATACTCAGCGCATCGGCGTTGTCATGGTTCAAAATCCAATAAGACAGAATGAACTTGCCCTTTCCATGCATCATCGTGGTGGGCACTAGGTAACACATGGAAGAGGCTGGCACTGTAATAATATTGGCCACCTCCCTGCTGTTGAAAAACAACCCCTTGTGGACTGTAATATGATTGTTTGGTGTCACCAAATACGTAGGGATTCGCTCTTGGCCAATGCTTTTCACCAAAATTAACCCACACTGAATGTAGTTTAGCTCCTGGCTTGTCTGGCGATGAAGCTGGCTCCGCTTGTCGGGCTGACGAATCATCCCTATGATTTGCACTGGTTCATCAGCTCTGTTGCGAACCAAATAGAGAGGATTTTCGCGCCAGGTTGTCAGCATTGGATTTCCACCGCTCGTGGTGTCACCCCACTCACTGTTAAAGCTAAAGTAAGAATCAAGCGGCCCCTCTACGTATAACTGCTGAAGACTGTGGAAGACCTCACAGAACGCAGGGACTGGCATGTAAAAAAGACTACTGTTCTCAGGGTGACAAACCGCGCGGAGACTTTCCGTCCAACTAGCGTCACTCACGTTCATAGGCCCAATATAAGATGTGTTAACAAAAGGACTATACAACTTTACAAGAATATCCGAGAGCCCTATTTCATGCACGTCACTAAGCAAAATAAACCCAAGCACACCATACGACTGGTTGTCATTCAGGCCAAATCGTTCAGCCTTTCCAATCTTCGTGAGGGCTGTAATAGGGGTTCGCTGAAGACACTCATTGAGCTCAAGCCAGAAACCCGGGTCGTCGACATCACAAAAAATCTCGTTAGCCAGGTCAGGATCAGTGGGGATGTTGATCACTGGCCGACCAGAGAAGTCGTGAAGCACCTCCTGCTGCGAGCACCCCTCCAGGTTGCTGTACGACGTGTAGAACTTCGCGTAGGCCTTCTCCAGCAG